ATATCACACTTAACCTTATCAAAAATCGTTTTGCTGATCTACACGAAATAATATCTAGACCAGGAAATTAGCTAACTTTTTCTATAAATGGCCAGACAGTAAGTATATTAGGCTTTAAGGTCTCTGTTACAACTACTCAACTTAGTAGACAGAGCACAAGAGCAGTGACAGTCCATATGGAAAAGAAGGACTGGAGCTGTGCTAAAATACAGCTATTTACAAACACAGGTGGCAGGCCAGACTTGGCCTAGGCTTCTGACCCCTGATCTATTTAAGCTGTTTAAAGCTGATTTGTGTCTTTATTTTTAATTGGAGGTAATTGCTTTACAGGGTTGTGTTGGTTTCTGCCATACAGCAGTGTGAATCAGCCATAAACACACATGTATACCCTCCCTCTTGGAACTGCCTCCCACCCACTGCCCCCAGGTTGTCACACAGCACCAGGGCTGAGCTCCTTGGGCTATATAGCAACTTCCCACTAGTTATCTATTTTACATATGGTAATATATATGTTTCAATGCTACTGTCTGAACTCATCCCACCCTCTCCTTACCCCACTTTGCCTATAAGCCGGTTCTCCATGTCTTCATCTCTATTCCTGCCCTGCAAATAGGTTCATCAGTACCATTCTTCTAGATTCCATACATATGGGCTAATATACGATATTTGCTTTTCTCTTTCTGACTTACTTCACTCTGTATAATAGGATCTAGGCTCATCCACCTCAGTTCAGCTGACTCAAATCCATTCCTTTTTTATGGTCAAGTAATATTCCACTGTATATATGTACCACAACTTCTTTATCTGTTCATCTGACCCCTGATTTAGATCGATATCCTCTGTACCAACCTCTCAACACCCTTCTAGTATTTTTTATTTGATTCCCTCTCCCAATACAGATTTGAAATGTATTCCTGGAAAACAAATACTGTTCCTCTTGAGAAATTATTTTGAAATACATATTAAAATATTAATGATATATAATATTGTCAAGTAGATCTTTTCAGGGATAATCATCAATGTCAAATAAAAGCAATTCCTATATGTCCCTTACATAGTCTTTCAATTGAAATGTTTTGAACAACTGGAAAACTTTTGACTGTTCAAAATGTTAATTTTTAAAAGTCTTAATTTAAAATTTATTGTTCTTTAAAAAATTATTCTTAAAAAACTATACTGTGGGACTCCTGTGCTTTAAAATCTTCATTAGCTAGCCACTCCCTTAGAGTGATCTTTTTTAAAAAAAAATGGAAGTACAATCTCTGTATAATATGTTACAGGTATATGATACAGTGATCCACAATTTTTAAAGGTTAGGCTCCATTTATAGTTATTATAAACTACTGGCTATATTCCCTGTGTTGCATAATATGTCCTTGCAGCTTATTTTATACCTAGTAGTTTATACCTCTTACTCCCCTAAGCCTATATTGGACCCCACCCACTCCCCTGTCCCCACTGGCAACCATTAGTTTGTTCTCTATATCTGTGAGTCTGCTGCTTTTTTGTCAAAGAAACACTTTAGCATAGCATACAGGGTCATTCGTAAGTTGGTCCCAACCTACCTCTCTGATTTTATTTGCTTTGGAGAAGCAAATTTGGTGTTGGAGAAGACTCTTGAGAGTCCCTTGGACTGCAAGGAGATCCAACCAGTCCATCCTAAAGTAAATCAGTCCTGAATATTCATTGGAAGGACTGATGCTGAAGCTGAAACTCCAATACTTTGGTCATCTGATGTGAAGGACTGACTCATTGGAAAAGACCCTGATGCTGGAAAAGACTGAAGGCGGGAGGAGAAGGGGACAACAGAGGATGAGATGGCTGGATCACATCACCAACTTGATGGAATGAGCTTGAGTAAGCTCCGAGAGTTGCAGTGATGGACAGGGAAGCGTGGCATGCTTCAGTCAATGGGATCACAGAGTCAGACACTACTGAGCGACTGAACTGAACTGAACTTTCTGTTCATTCTTTGTATACAAGAATAAAAACATGACCAGGAGATAAAAACACTGACATTTCAGGAAATGGTTACTTCTGGAAGAGGAGAGAATACTGGGAAGGGGAACCCTTGGGATTTCAACTATATCTGAGGTGACTTTTTTAAAAATGATATTAATGAAAATATTAAATAAAGATCTGAAGCAAAGCTACAGCAAAGCATTAAGATTTGATAAAGCAAAGTGGTGAGTAATAAAAATGCTTCTTCTGTCATTCACAATACTTTTCTATTTGTTTAAGACAGGGGTTGACAAACTACAATCTGGCCCATTGGCAATTTTTTAAGACTTGGAGCTAAGAGTAGTTTTACATTATTGAAAGGCTGTTAACTATTTGGCCCTATATAGAAAACATTTGCCAACTTCTGATTTTAAATATTTCATAAAAAAAAAATTTAAAAAATGAAGAGGTAAGGAGGCAACTGAGTCAAGGAAGGACAGTTTTGTGTTCTTACCTTAAGTATCTTCCTGAAACATTTTATATTGCTTGTTTCTTTAAATTAGCTTTTTGTGAATCATTTTTTCAACTTTTATGAAGAAGAAATCTCATTAAAGTAATAAAAATGGTAACTATGTATGGCAGTAGATGGTAACAAGACTTAATTGTAATTGTTTCAGTGTATACAAATATCAGGTTGTTGTACACCTGAAACTAATATGTCAATTATACCTCAGTTTTAAAAAAATGATGTACCTCTGTGGGGAAAAAAGAAATCTCATCAAATTTTATTCTATGAGGTTGGAACTCATAGAAAATGAGTTCTATGAGGAACTCATTTAAAAGACCTATGGGAGAAGTGTTTAATATGATTTTGATTTCAGTCAGACCATACTTGTCAAAAAACTGGGGGGCTCATTTAGAGCCCAATGTGTCATTTTTAGGCTGCGGTACTTAGATTGGTGACCCACTTATGAGCTGTCAGCCAGGCACACAAGAGAGATGCTGCATGGGATCTATTCTTGGCTTCAGGTTCACATTTTCTGCTTTCTGCAGTCCACCTCTTCTAGAAGAATCTGTTTTTTTTTTTTTTTTCCTACAGATGATAATGGGGCAATAGGGCTAAACAAATTTCACAACACTGTATTACAGTAAGAGTTTCTGGCCATAGTAGTTGTGAAACACTGGAATATGTCATCAGAGAAGGTAGACTTTTTTTTTTTAACGGGGAAAACAGATAACACATTTAAATATTTTGGTATGCCGCAGATCACAAGAACTGTTAGAGCTTATGTTATTATAATTTTGGTTACTATATAGGTATTTTCTTTATAAAATAGTAAGCACATCAGTCTTGCCTATGTACATGAAAGGATTTTTAAAAAATTTTTTCTAATTAACTGACATAGTTTCTCCCCTTCAGCATTGACCCATGTTAACAAATGAGTATTACCAACTATGAATCAATGAATGAAGAGACTCACAGAGATTTCACAGTAATGCTCAGTGGACAAGTGAGGATCTTTTAGACCTATGTTATTTAACACTTTAAATATGTACTGTTTTAAACTTTAGCGTCACTGGTAACTAAAAATGTGTACAGGAGAACAACAGCCACAAAAAAAATGAGGTAAAAATTATTCGTCTGATCACAATATGCATTTTTTCTTGTTCTAATGAAAATATTAATGTATTTATAAGAAAATAATAACTTGTTTTTTAACTGGGCCATATATATGACATCTCTAATATCCATTTTTTTTTTAAAATTTATTATATTAAAGATATACAAAATGGCATGACAAAATACTGGTGATTCATTACCAGATTAAACATTACTGAGGCCCTGTGCACCCTTCCTCAGTTCTATCTCCCTTCCTTCTTCCATGGATTAATCACTGTTCTGAACACTGTACCTGATGTATCCATGTATTTATTCATACTTTTTATACAATACAAATACCTCTAAAAATTCCTATCATTATTTTACAACTAGTTTTGTTGAGTTCGCTTCATGTCTGAATGTTGGCACGTATAGTGTATTCACATGGCAGAGACAGAGCTCACCAAATATTCTATGTGCTCCCATATGATTCTTAGACTTCAGGTTAGAATCACTGGGCTGTGAGCAGACGGGAATTGTGTCAAGAGTGGGACAAGGTGGTTAAAAGCTCCGTTTCTTTCTTAGCCTTCTTCAGTGAACTCTTAAGCCACATCTTCCAGACGGGGCAATGGGGCAGCTGTAGGAACATGGAGCATCCATCAGTCTGGGTCCCTGCGCGAGGTGGAGCAGAGCCCTCTTACCAACTGTGCTGGACGTGTAAAACGAGTAAGAATAATCCTATTGGGCTAAGACACATATACATACCTACAAATGGGCAGATAACTTCCTTTCTGGGATTATTCAAAAGTAATGCTATCAGTAGCAGGGTAAGTTCAAAGCCTTCTGAAAATACTTTTACCTTGTAACCCTACACCGCCATTCATTCTCACTTGCATGATGAAGGATATTTCATATACTCTAATCTTTACCTTCTTTGAAGATCTACTGCACTAACAAAACTTTCAGAGATGTGCTTATATGTTCACATACTTTTTCTGGCATGTTAGTTTTGTTTCCCCAACTAGATTTTAAGTTCTACACAGCCTTGTAGTCCACAAAGGCATGCAGTGAAGAGTGGCTTACTGGTTGAGGATGGTGAAACTAATATTAAATAACTCTTTGTGTAAGGCACCTTGCTTGTGCTTCACCTGACTTATCTTGATCATTATTATTCCCGTAATACAGATGAGGATATTAAGACTAAGTAACTTTCCTTTGGTCACAGAGCTGGGAAGAAGATAATGGGTATGGGGAAGGAAATTGAAAGCAATCTGCTTAACTCTATAAAGACTTTGCTTTTTAGCTTTTTCCACCGAACTTGGTGAGACCATGCCTAGTGTAGGGCAGGAGCTTTAGTGGAACATAAAATGACTGACAAAAATCTTTTTGTTTCTAAATTTTGCAAACATTAGTACATTTCTTTGGAGACTTCTTGGGACTGAAGATTGTTAGGTCTTACCTTGATCACCTCTGGGGTCTGCTGAATCAAAACCACTGAGGTAGTGTCTTTGACTTTATCACCAACAGGACTTCTGCAGACTGATAAATTGGCCTGGGAGGAAGTTGTCAAGGTTTCTTGTAGAATTTGCATCATCTCTTTTTCTTGTGATAGGCTCCCTCTGCCCGATTTGCATTCAACCAATTCTTGAGCAAAATCTTCAATGCTCTCTAGAATCCGCAGTAAGAGGGCTCGATCCTCTTCCTCTATTTTGTGTCCATTGGTTTCAATAATCCTTGTTAGACAGGAAGGTGACACTTTTTCCATAGGTGAAGAGACTTTAGATTTAGGCTCAAGATCTGGGAGCTGACCAATCAACTGACTCTGACTATTTAGAGAGTTAGAACTTTTACCTTTAGCAAGTGGCTCTCTTAGAGAGTTCTCCATCTTCTGTGAGAAAGATTCCAAGTCCATTAACAATTTATCTATCTCTTCCTGACTGTTAGAATTCATAAAATCTCTGTGGTTTCCCTCTTCAACTTTAGGAACTTTAGATTTAAGATCTTCTTCAGGTAGACTAACAACTGATTTCTCAAATATCTTACCAATTTCATTTTGCATTGAGGCAGGGCATTTTTTAAGATGAGTACCATGGTCTGATAATTTTGCTCTATCTTCATTTATCTTTATCAACTCCTGAGAGGGTCCATTTTCTGTCCTCTGTTCTTGATATAAGGCTTTCTTTCCATCTGACTCTTCTTCAATATATAGGGTTTCCATGAGATCACCAGAAGAAACATTTTCTAAAGGATTTACAGTTAGTGACTGTGATTGAAGCTGGACATCTTTTAGAGTTCTGGGATCACTTATCTCTAAATTATATAAGGAATTTGTAGAGTTATTTGGAATGGGTTTTATAGTATCTGTTTTTTTAGAACTGTGCTGGTCATCTTGCAGTTCTATAGTTTGAAACTGTCCAGAGTCAAGGGCTGAGAGCTGGACAACATCTTCATACTTAGGGGGCTGTTCAGTGCCAAATACTGGGGAAAAGGGAGTCAGTTGTAAACTAGGCATATTACTGACCAGTTCTGTTAAATCTATAGACTCATTATTCCCAGATTGCATGAATTCAAATGGTAGCTTTTTCAGGTAGGATGCTAACCTGGTCATTACATTCATATAGACAGTTTCAGAGCTAGAAATTGCATCATTACCATTTCCTTCATTGATGCTACTCCCTGTCTTTTTCTTTATACACTGTTTTATGATGTCTGTGCATTTTTTCAAATCCTCAGAGCATTTCAGCAAGATGTCTAAGCACATCTTTATGTCTGTACCAGAAGAAAAATTATCTATTTTATGTTTTTCTAAAATCTGAGTAACCAGGTCTTCTTCAGAGAAGTTGTGAAGAAACACTGAAGTCAGGTTTGTATCGAGTGAGTTTCTATGGGACAAAGATTTTTCCTCAACTGAGGAACTCCGGAGTAAACCAAATGATGGAGAGTTCCCATCATGATTATAATGGCCACAGAGCAAGTCAAAATCAACTGACCTCCTATTGAATGAGTCAGATTTAACTTTCCTTCCCTTTTTGTAAGTGGCATGGTTAGAGTTTTTGAGTTTTTCAAGGGAAAATTCTTTTATTTTCCCACTGGCAAAACTGATTGCTTCTCCTGCAATGTCCTTTAAATTACAGGTACTCTGAAATGTAGATCCTTTCCTGACCTTGGGTATGCCCGTGAGGGCTTGATGGGGATAGTCACCTTCAGCTGAGGAAAACCCATTTTCATGGGGTAGAAACAGAGAGTCCAAATCTGTATCTTTGAACTGAGATACAGGGATGTGTAAGAGGTCTGCACAAACACTATGATGTATCACAATGCAGTCAACTCCATGTGTGAAGGCGTGGCAGGTTCCAGTGCAATAATGTATTGCTTGCTCAAAACGCCGGTCTATCACCACACTGCTATAGTGGTTCACAGTACTAACCACAAGTCTGTAAGTTGCTGCCATAATATCAAATCCACTGGGTGGCAGGATGTAGAATTTTCCAGAACTTGTTTCAAGTAAATTCTCCTAAATGACACTCAGCTAAAAATATATTTGACTGACAATGTTCAGTGGTTTCTTGCAAATATAATGACCTTTCCCGCAAAGGGAAAGCATCAAAATTTGAGGTTTGGTAACTGTCAGATACAGTAGCTGTGGCACATGCGTGCTTGTATCAGCAAGTCTAATAATTTAATAATTGTGCTTTCTAGTTTCATTTAGTAATATCATAATACTATAGGATTATTTTTAGGAATAAATTTTAAGAAGAATAAAGAATATTCTCTTTTAGTTCTTCAGCAGTTCTATGATGCAGACATTTATGGTCATAAATGTACTGTCATAAATCTCAGTTGATAGTATAGAAGTACTGTGATAACTGAGTCCTCCAAAGGCTTAAATGATCCATTTTTTTGTGAATGACAGGAAAACCTATAATGAAAAAAGAAAACAATTTAAAGGAAATACAATCTCTTAATACTGACAGAATCTTTTATTTCCTCTTCTTTTGTATCCCACATGCAGTTAATCATCTTTTTCTTTGCCACATCAATGATAGCTTATCTTTGATTCAAGCCTTTGCTTCATGACATCCTATACTCCTTATTACCTAAAGTAGTATTACCAGCTTTCCTGGGGACTTGGTGATAAAGAATCCACTTGCTAATGCAGGAGACGTGGGTTTGATTCCTGAGTCTGGAAGATCCCCTGGAGGAGGAAATGGCAACCCACACCAGAATTCTTACCTGGAAAATCCCAAGAACAGAGGAGCCTGGTGGGCTACAGTCTATGGGGTTGCAAAACAGTCAGATATGACTTAGTAACTTAACTACAGTAACAGTATTACCTCAACTCTGCCTTGTTACAACTGCCTCTCAGGTGGCATTTCTAATCCCACCCTTCTTGCTTCCTAACATGACACTGACTAGCTTGGATATAGAGAGCTTTCTCACCTCTTACAGATCAAGAATTCACACTACTGATCTCTATCATGTATCATGGCAGGCCTAAATTCTTTGACTAATTTTCAACCACTATTTCCATCCACACATAACCTTATTTTCTGCTACTGTCCTGCATCAACAGGACAGGTTGATGTTGCTTCCATCAACATAGGTTTCTTAAAGATGGCTGACACACAGTGCTTGTTCTTGATTATACAACCTCCTCGACACTTGGAAATTATTTCCTTACCTTCATCTCTTTTCTTACTCTTTCTGAGAGAGAAAAACAACCTTTATTACTGATCTTGATCTCATCCTCTCAGACCCTGCCACACGTAGATCTCCCTCTCTTGTCATCAATGGATAGAATTTAATCATTCTCTTATTTTTTTTAAAAAGGGCGCTTATATCATGCTGTAAGTTGCTGTCCAAAAAGGCTCAATCCACTGTTGCAGAGTAGTCCTATCCATTATTGAAAGTTGGGGGGGGGGTACTGAATTCTCCAAACATTATTGTTTAGCTTTCTATCTCTCCCTTAGTTTGTTTTGCTTTCTGTATTTTGATATTCTGTTGTTAGATACGTATGTTTCTAACTGTTATATCTGCCAGATGGAGGGACACAAACTATTATAAAATATGTATAACTGACTCACTTTGCTGCATAGCAGAAACTAACATGGTACTCTAAACCAGTTATCCTCTAATAAAAACTAATTAAAAATAATAAAAAGAGAAAAAACATTAAAAAACAAAACAAAAAGGTTCAGCCAATGTTCTGACTTAATCAATAAATACTGAGTGCTTACTGTGTGACAGGCACCTGCCAAGTGCTAGAGATAGAGCAGTGAATAAAGTCCCTGTCCTGAATGAACTGACAATCTAGCTGGAAAAAGAAAAACAACACGTAAGTGAACCTAACTTAGATGGTAATACGTGCAACAGAGAAAGATGAAGCACAGCAAGGTTTTAGAAAGGATGAGAAGGTGTGGGTTACAAAAGGCAGTCAGGGAAGACCTCACTGATATCTCAACAGAGATCTGAAAGAAGAGAGTGAGCAGGTTGAGGAGGTATTTGGGGCTAAATCATCTTGGGCAGAATAACCAAAAGTAGAAAGGCTCCTGTGGTATGAATATGTTTGACTTCCTAAAAGGATGACAAGGAGGCTAAGTGACTGGAGTAGAGAAAGCAAGGTGGTAGGCAGTGTGGGAGAAGAGGCCAGAAAGGAGAGGTGGGAGTCTAAACATGCAGAGCCTGTAGACTATTATGATGAAGTTGGCTTCACTGTGAGTGAGCTGGGAAACAACTGATGTCTACTGAGCAGAGGAATGACATGATCAGACTTACATTTTTAAATGGGTAATTTTGGCTTCTGTGTTCAGAAGAGACTGTAGAGGAGCAAGACAGGAAATAAGAACAGGTAGGAGCTGTATCAGTAAACGAGGTAAGAAGGCTGGAGGGCCTGAACCAGGAGAGGCACAGTGCAACTGAAAGTCACTCAGTCGCGTCTGACTCTTTGCAATCCCATGGCCTATACAATCCACGGACTTCTCCAGGCCAGAATACTGGAGTGGGTAGCCTTCCCCTTCTCCAGGGGATCTTAAATGCTGAATATATTTCAAAGGTAGAGCCAGTATGACTTGTTGAATGCTAAGAGTGTGCAATACTACTACATCAAGAAAGGTGGACTAAGACAATGACAGTTAGGAGATGACAACAGCAGAGAAAGAGAGCATCAGTTTAACAATACCAAGAATTGCACTGGTATTTTAACAATAAAAACAGTTACCCATTCAATAATGAGAAACAGAACTTGACTGTTTTCATTTTTATTTCTTCAATCTTAGAAAATTCTGTTTATTTTGCTTATTTGTTATATTTCTTCTTTGGTAAAGTTTCTATTCAAATTCTTTGCTAATTTCTGTATTTGAGACAGTGAAATCAGATATGGTTAATACAATTAATTCGTGAAGAACCCTTTATGTTGTTGAATTCTTATACTGTTTAGGATATATTTCTTGGCTCCTTAGATTCAATGATTATTACTCTGTTTTTATGCCAATCCAATACTATCATAATTACTGTTTTCTCATTAAGTTTTACTACCTGACTTTTTCCCTCATATTTTGAATTGTGATTCCTTTTTATATTCCAATATTCTTTGATGGTCTTCCAGATGAATTTCTGCATTGTCAGGTTTTAAGGAAAATCTGATAGGAATTTGATTATAATTACAGTAAACTTATGAATTATTTTGAAGAAACACTAATATCACTATAATATTCAGATTTTCCTTCCACAAACATATAAACTGTAATTCCAACACTCCTTTCTTTCTTTGTGGTTTTTCTTCAGTGTTTCGCCCCCATTCTTCTTTTCCTTCAGTGTCTCAACTTTATTGCTATGTGAATGGATCTTGAGCCATTGTTTTGTCCTCTACTTCCTTGCCTTCAAATCCAAGATGGTGGTTCATATAAAACTATAAAGCTGAATATCATGCAGGTTGGTTGAAGCTCAAGTATAAAGAAGATCCATAGTAAAGGGAATGAGTGAAAGTTGCTCAAACATGTCCGACCCTTTGTGACCCCATGGACTATAATTTGTGACCCCAGGGGATTCTCTAGGCCAGAATACTGGAGTGGGTAGCTTTTCCCTTCTCCAGGGGATCTTCCCAACCCAGGGATCTAACCCAGGTTTCCCGCATTGCAGGCAGATTCTTTACCAACTGATCCACAAGGGAGTACCTACCCAATAATTCTTAAGTGAAAATACAAAAGTGCCAAAGAGGAATAAGTGTTACGGGGCAAAAGACTAGAATGCAGCAATGGAAGGAAATACATTTTTAAAAGGTGTACATCCAGGAGACAGGGAAGAAATACCACCAAACACAAAAAACTATGTGCCTTTTCAGAAAACCATGATTTTGAAAGAGTTTTTGGGTAAGGGTAAAAGAGAAGGCAAATCAAAGGACACTATCAATAAAGTATATTAGGATAGCTGTATGAGAGCTATTAAGACTACATCGTTTTTATTTGTTTTGGCCATGCTATATGGCATGCGGGATTTTAGTTCCCTGACCAGGGACAGAACTTGTGCCCCCTGCAGTGGAAGCATGGAGTCCTAATCACTGAATCTCCAGGGAAGTCCCAGGACTATATCTTAATATGGGTGATAAAAGTGGTCCTGAGGCAAAATACAGAACTGTTAAGACAATTTAAATATCCAGATTAAATTGGATATTTAAATATTAAATTTAAGCTATTAAATTAATTGTCAGATAAATTCCTAAACTGACATAAGACTCTTTTATTTCTCTGAAATTTGAGAAACTAAAGAGAAATCTTTCTCTAGGTTTGAAAATGAGCAAAACAACCAGTTAATACGGTAACATGACAGAAAATGCAAGAAAGTATTGTTGTGATGTTAGAATTTGAAGTAATCAAGGGAGTGAATACTGGCTAGAGTCAGACATAATGCTTTTAGCCAGTGCTGCCTAATAAAACTTTCTGCATTGATGGAAATGCATGTCTGGAATATCACGTCTGCCATGATATGGCTGCCATCTGCCACATGTGGCTATTGAGCACTTTAAACATGGCTACTGTAACTGAAGCACTGAATTTTAATTTTATTTAGTTAAACATTTTAAATTTTGAAATTATTTTAGACTCACAGAAAAGTTACAAAAATAATATATGGAGTTCCTGTGTACCCTTCCCCCAGTTTCCTCCAATGGTAACTATATCACCACACCACAAGGATCAAAAGCAGGAAACCGACTATTAACAGACCTTATTTAGATTTCACCAGTTTAATATGACTCACTCCTTCCTTTTCTTTACTTCCTCCCTTCCTTTTACAGTAAGTACCACCACAATCAGGATACAGAACTACCCCTTCACTCTTCAGAATCCCTCACACTACTCTTTTGTAGTCATACAGTAAACAGACCACTAAACTGTTCTGCATCATTACGATTCTGTCATTTCAAGAACATTTATGTAAGGCATACAGTGTTTAAGC